CCAACAGTTTACTATCAGAACTGAGGCTGATCATTAACAGGGAGCAGCAGGTAACAAGGTCATCAGCAGTGGAGGAAAGTATGGAAGTAATACTCAGCTTCATATTTGAAGATACTCGAGTATCTTAGCTGCAGGTCTGGAACAATTTACATACGAAGTCATATTAAAAACATGAAAAGCTCCAATAACTCCAAGTTGGAACAAAGACATTTAAAGTTATCAAATGATCCACAGAGATTATAGAACCGTACAAAACACGAAAAGAAAATTTGGCATCAGAACTGTTTTAAATTTCCTCTCATCCATTTGTTTCTCTTTGCAAACCCACTGAAAATCGAACTCTACATAAAGCAGATCAAACCACTGAGACCACAAATTAAATTGCTGCTTCCACTTTGATGCATCAGTTTCAGGACTCTAATAACATCATATGTGAAAATATAGCAGATTCAGGCATTATTAGTAAATCTACTTCGTACTTTACTCTGTTTTACATAATAAGTCTAAACAGCATTTCCTAAACTCTTCAGCTACCAAAAAAACAAAACAAAGACTAAAAGGAGGTCATAGGTGATGATGATGATGGTGTGGAGGAGGAGGTGAAATAAAAAGTCACTGTTGTCATAGAATACTGTGTCTCTAGATACTTGCAAGTCTTGAATACCACTTCTTATTCTTGAAATGTAACAATGATGATAAAAAGAAAAAATAAATCTTGCAGGTCGTCTCATTTATGCTCCGAGCTCAATGAACTCTGCAGTGGCTCTGTGATATCCACTGAACCAGAGTCCAGCATAGAGCGGCTGAGTGAATGCGGTCTGGACTCTGTGGAGGAGAGTCATGCTTTCAGAGACGCTGTAGAAAGCCAGGACACCCGCACTGTGATCCAGGTACACTCCGAGCCGGGACGTCCACGGGCTCGAGACGCCTGTTTTCACGCTGTTGTGTATGAATTTGAAGCTGCTGCTGCAGTTACACTCCAGCGCCCAGGACTTGTCGTTGAATCCAAACGCGCACTCGCTCATGGACCCCTCTCTGCTGATATCTTTGTATGCCAGCGCCACTGTGACTCTCTTCCTGCACCACTCCACCTCCCAGTAACGACGGCCAGTCAGGCTCTGGTTACTCAGGACCTGCCTCCGCCTAATGAATCTGTCCGGGTGAGTAGGATAAGACTGCTCCTCTCTCATTAATGTTGCTCTCCTGTTCCCCTCTGATAATGACAGCTGTGTGTTTACTGTGTTGGGATCCAGCGTGATTTGGAATGAATATTTTAAGAAGTCAGCTCTGGTCTTTGGCTCTGTTTGTGGGTTTACATCAACCACGGGTGAAACATCCACCCAGGTGTCCCTCAGGATGTCCTGTACTTTAGCTCTGAGCTTTGACACAGCTGCTGTCACCTCCTCAAAGAAGCTCAGAGGAAGGATTT